TGAATTCTAAGTTGTCCTTCTGCCTTTACTCTTGATTTACTGTTGATATTGATATACCCCCGCAGCATGTACTCCCTCCCATCTTTACTTGTTGTTCATGTTTTATTTTCTGTTGCATATTATATAACTGCACAAGTTTATTTGGTAGTCTGGTCCTAGCCTCGTCACTGCTTCGCCGAGATTAGGCTAGGCACTTACCAGCACATGGGGTCGGTTGTGCTAATGCTACACTCTGCACTATGTGCAGATCTCGAAGTAGCTCTTGGACCATAGCATTTGGGTGGCTACCTTCAGTCCAGCTAGAGATCCCGAGGTAGTCCTGCAGGCGTCCGCAGGCCTGGCGTTCTCTTCTATCTTATTATGTACTCTGTTTCCTTGTTTCCGAGAAAAATTGTACTTTCTTTTCAGACTTTTGTTGTAGTAATCATAGACAGTCCCTGATATTGTGAAATCGGATCCCAGGTAGAGACGTATGTTGGCATAGTAGTACTGGCTTGGGTTATTTTATCAGATTAAGTCTTCCGGATGATTTTATTCATCGTTAATATTTCAATTTTGATTACCTGTTAAATCAAATTGTTAAAAAGGGCTAAAATGAAAAGAGTTTGTGATTCTTTATTTCGCGGCTTCCCTAGCTTCTACAAGTAGGCACCATCACGACTCCCGAGGGTGAAAAATCCGGGTCGTGACAAAATAACTTTAAAATATTAATCTTCTAGATAAAAGTTATATATAATCATTAAATAAATATTAATAAATTAGCAGAAATTTCTCAAATCTCATAGTCAATATATATATATATATATAGAACTCCTAGATTTTGTACATGCATTTCGTTTCGGTATCAATATTAAATAATACTGAATATGTCATGTTGTGATGTGTCTTCTTTGACCACAAGAAATCATATTATTTTAACAAAATTCTTAAAATTACTTTGTTTTTCATCTCAAATTCAAATAACTCTTATTCTCATATATTTTTTACACATTTTTTTTTCATTTTTGCTTTGCTTATGGTTACAACATTATTTATTAAATAATATTATTATATTGTCATTGATTTTTACCATAAATAAAATTTGATCAAATCTAATCCGTCTTAATCCTTTATGGATTTGTCTAAATTAGTAAAAAAAAATATTTACTTTTATTCTATTGTTCTTATCTTTCTGAATAATTAAGATAGAAGTGTTGTCTTTATCTTTCAATTTAATTGTTTTTAAATTTTATTAATTAAGATAGGGTAGACAATATCTTTACAAAAATATTCATTTTCTTTTCATTTAGATTCAAAAAAAATATTTTTTATTTTAAATTAGTATTAGTATTAATATTATCCTAAATTACCAAGTGATTTATAGTAGTTTGTTACTTGGCTTAACCACAATGTAAATTTTATTCATTATTATTTAAAATAATTTCTCTTCTCAAAAATCAAATACTCGAGTCTTATCCTTCCAAATATTTGTACGTTGAAATTATTTACTTGTATTATTTTTTCTCTTTTTCTTTTAATTTTTTTAATTATGTTGTTCATATTAATGTTTAAATTTATCATATTTTTTTATAATACCTATATTTTTATCTTTGTAATTAATTAATATATAGGCGTTGTTTTTATCTTTCAATTTAAAATTTTAAAATCTTATTAATTAAGATATGGTATCGGGCCTGTATTTTGGTTCCGGTGCCCGATACATGTCTTATATGTAATTTAAGATAACTCTGTGAAGTTTGGTAAGAAACGGATGTCATTTGACGTGATTCAGACCTAAATTGCAAAATTTGATCTTTTAAGAAGTTTGAAATAATTCATTGATTTTGAGGTTTAATTCGATGTTAATGATGTTAATTTGGCGATTTGATCGCACAGATAAGTTCATGTGGTGTTTTCGAGTTAGTACATATGTTTGGTTTGGAGCCCCGAGGGCTCGGGTGAGTTTCGGATGTGTTTCAGAAGGTTTTAAACTCTTAAAAAGTTGCAGGTTTTCAGCTGTTGGTATTCTGATATTTCCTTATTCACGTTTGCGGGAGGACCCTCGTGAACGTGATGTGTTAATTATGCTGAAGGGAATTCCTTCTACGCGAACGCGTAACCCAGGTCACGAACGCGAGGCATT